CGTTCTCGGGGATATCTCAATCTCCGAGAATATAATGCCGTCTGAGCACTTCGTCATACACGAGAGACATCTTATCCAATACTGGATAGAAAGCGCGTGATTCTCTGTACATGTGTGCGCGTGTGTGTGTATGTTCATATAAAGTAAAATTACATATTACTTCAATAAAACAATTTCTAATTTATCCGCTATTCACTTGACGATTTTTCTGATATTGTCAGGTGTAAGAAGTATACGTAAAAAAATATTGAATGTTTTGTCCAAAATATAAAACGTTTCTCAATCGTTTTATTCTTATCATCGCTTTATAGAGCAAAAAATCTTACGTCAAATGTCAAATTTCACTGCTGATAATTGTTCACAAAAAATCCACGTATCTCGCGTTTTTTGTGTCCGCAAACGTCACGACATCCTAAACTCTATTACATGCAGAAACAATATTTCCCTCTCCCCCCCAAAAAAAAAAATTATTTTGCTCCACCATCGACACGAATCTTTTTGACGGCACCATCGGCATCGAACTTTTTCGAGGGTTGCGACCGGTGGGGTAGGTGTATTGTTTATTCAGAAACGTATCAGCGTTGGCGACTACGGCGGCGACGACGTCGACCACGACGAACAACCGTGTCGGCGAAAAGGCGGACAAGAGCGAGAGGGCCGCGTGAATAGCGTTTCCGGTAGAACAAGGTCCGTAGGGCTCCGCAGACTCTGGCTTCCGGTCAGGCGTCCACTGTTGCTACCCCATCGAAAACGCGGGTCCGGATCTCCCTGTGTTCGTTCCCTCCCGATTCGCCTCTCTCTGCATCCTCTGCGCTCCCCCTTTCTGCCCGACGAGAACTTCGTTCATCGGACCCACCGGGCGTTCGTTAATTAAGATATCGATTCTTATTGTCCAACCGCCGAGTCGAGCGGACGTCCTGGCCGGCGCCTGATTTCACGCGTTAGGGGGTTGCTCGTGCGCGCACGTTGTCGGTCAACCGCTGCGAGGCAACCCCTCTATTCGCGCGCTTTTGTCACGTTTTGAGCGTGATAGATTCGCGATTCCGCAACATACCGTGCCGGTATCGATTAATTGTTCGACGTCGCGGATTCACCTTCGTTTTTGTTTATCGATACCGACAAAAATAAATACGATTCGCACATAATTAAAACACACTGTATGCAATTAAAATTTCTTTTTTTCAAATATATCTACAATCTCGGGCTGTTTAGAAAAAACAAACTTTGTTTAAAGGCAGGTGACATCGTCGCTCTCAAAACCGATGATAAAATAAAGTATCGCGACGTATTATTATTATTTTTTTTTAATATATTAAACACAAACCGCATCGAGTAGCATTGTTCACTGCGATACTTCGCGAGTGTAATACTCTCGACGAACTTGATGATGATTTTCAACATCTTCCGTTATCAATTCCATTGCCCCTCATTTCTTCCAGTCGTCGACGACGGCAACTCGACGTGCTACGTGCGCACATATGTAGAGTGCCGAAGCTACAGGTGTCAGCAAGAGCAGTATTTTTCAGGCAAAGCCTGGTAAGGGTGTAGGTGATAGAGCAAGAGTGAAAAGGGTAAAGAGCGCGCTGAAGAGCGAGCGGGAGAGAAACGGAGAGAATGAGAGAGCCATCAAGGGAGGAAGAAAAGAGAGAGGGACATTTTACCGCGGCAGGGAAAACGGCAGAGTGCCGGCACGCACGTTGAATCTGCTAAACGCTCTCGCTCGTGCGTGAAATGCCTCGATATCACTGTTTTATTTCGGCCCGTTCCGTTCGTTCTCTCCCGCTTCTGTGACTCCGTCCTTTTTACTCCCTCTCCCGCCCCCAAACCGAGCGGCCGGCGCGCAACCCTTTCCTCTCGTCGCGCTCTCGTGCCCGGTCGTGCAGATTTGATGACCCTCCCGCCACGATTTCACGATGATTCAATTGTCCACGACTAACTGAAACAAAGCACTCGCAAGTCGAGCTTTTTCACCTCGTCGGTTTTTTCATTCGGTATTGGAAAAGCCGCCGCGCCAGTGCCGATTGATTTAATCTTATCGGACGTGAAGAATAAACACGCACCTTCAACCAAATTTCGTCTAATCAAAAATGCCATGAAAATCGTCGAATTAATCGAAATAAATATTATATTTTTAGAAAATATTCGCACAAATTGTTTTGCACGTGAGTGTCAAATGAGTTGATGTTGTATTTGAAGGCGCAAGTCACATTATGACGTGACCAAAAATCGTTCAAAAATTAGTCACCGGGATTCCGGGACTAATGCGCGCGAAAAAAAAAAACGTTCGATAAAGTCGATAAATCGCGCGGAGTGGCCCATTCGGCTACTTTAATTAATAATTATCGACTCGAAGAGAAGCGTCCTGCACAATGGCGATACTTCCTTCTGGCGTAATCCTCCGAAGATTAACGAGCCCGTACCAGAAGGGACCGTTCTCCGTCGCCCCCCAAACCCTTCCGAGTCCTTCGTGTGCTATATCGTCCTCTCTTATAGCCGCAAGACGCCATAGCGCGCCTTGCGGTGGTTGCGGCAAGAACCCTCGCCGTACCCGCATTAACGCAATTATGAATTTGTCGCGTTGGGATCTGACAATACAAGATGTCGCAGCCATTCTCCCGCCGCACGTTTCCCACCCAACCGGAGCCGCACCCGAGACCCTTAGCCCGGCTTTCCTCGTTTACACTAAAACCGATTTTGCGGACTATGTGAATCGAGACGTGACATAAATGAAATTTGTTAAGCCACGCGGATGTCTCTGTGTACGTACATGCGACACGTGTAGAAAACAGTTTGGTTCATTCGTCGCGAAGCTTGCGAAATAAATCATCGCGATTATGGATGATCAATCGCTTACGTTATTCTAAAACGCAAGTAGTCGAGATTTAACGTGTTATTGTGAATATTAAATAAAATGGTAACAGATCGTCATGAGACACATCGTATATTGATATTTTAAAATGAAACAATGAACGTTGTGTAACGTGAGCGTTGACAGTGATTGTTCGAACTAGATGCCGTCAAAAATTTATACCGCAGGTTGTAACTCTGCGAATGTCACTGGCCATTTATTGCATTCTGTGCTAATGTTCAAAAAAAAAAAAAAAAAATTCGTTAACGCTTTGCTTTGTCGTTTCACCTTTGCGAATCAATATCCAATGTATTTCGTGCACCCATCTTGTTAGCCATGCCGTTCGTTTTGCGGCACGGGAAGAGAATGTAGTTTCAGGGGCCCTAAGTTAGTTTCGAACGGTCCCGTAGCAATAGCAGTAGCAGTGAGGCATTCTCTCTCTCTCCCTCTCTCCCTCTCTCCCTCTCTCTTTCTCTCCCACTTCCCTCTCTCTCATTCTCTCTAATATCGTGCGGTAGCGATGGGTAGGACGGGAGGATCGTTGCGGCTCGCCGCAGGCGACTGCTGCGACCTGCTCTCTTCAGCGACAAATTCCTCCTCCCGGCTTCGCCCTGGTTCACCTCGCTCTTGCGCGTCTTCTCGCTTCATCCGTTACCGACAAGAGAGAGAGAGAGAGAGAGAGAGAGAGAGAAAGAGACTTGCGTTTCCCGACTTCTCCGCTTATCCTCTCGTGAACTTATACAACGCGCAAGAAAATCAATCGACAGAGTCCGGCAAGGCGAGGTGCGAGGATTTCAACGGTCTTTCTCGCAGTCCGGATTCAAGAGCCACGAGAAAGAGAGAGAGAGAGAGAGGGAGAATTGGAAGGGTGATTCTCTAAACATCAAGGAGGCAGAGAGGGGACTCTGCCTAGTCAGCCCTTAATATCGTGAGAGCCGGATCCGCGCAAACAAGACCGTAACCTCCGGTTTAAGCATCGGCCAGCGAGCGTCCGGTTGAACAGTGTCGATCCAACCGCCGCTGGCCCTATTATCGCTAACTAATAAAGGGCCTAGTTGAAACGCCCAGGCTTTTGTTTCCAGTACTCGAGCGTTGCCCGCCTCTCCAAAGGCATAACCCGAACTGGCTTTTCGAGGGTGGTAGATTGAAAATCACTGGTACAGCAGATTTGCGAAGATCGATCGCGACGACGCTTCGACGGGAGAATCAACGAAAATCATGATTTTTTTTTGTTTTCTCGCGCGCAACAAGAATACTCGCTTTCAATTGAACTCTTTTATAAAATTTTAAACAATTTCAGTTCAAATAAAACAATTTTTTAGTTTAAATTAAATTACAGGAAATTGTCTGTTTGTATTGCAATTTCAACTGAGAAATCTTTCGCTTCTTCAGTTAAATTATAGCTTTCCTGCATGTAATAGGACTCTCTCAAGAAAAAAATACGTCGATGGCAAATCCCATTGGTTCACAGGCGAAAGCGATCGGGATCGCTTATAATCGCGCATGTACGGCCGTATACATGTCTATAACTATTTTTCTGCTAGGGGAAGGAAAAAGTTTGATCGCAATAAGTGCCGCTATCACGAGAGAAAAAAACAGAGAGAGAGAGAGAGAGAGAGAAAGACAGATCACTTTCAATGCGATTTCTACTCCGAGCGAAAACTCCGATATCATTATTGTGATATTATGTTCCTAAATTCCACGCACGTCGTTTTTTTTTTTTCTGCTGCTGAGAAGCAGCAGAACACTGTTCTTAGAAAAGGCTATCATGCCAGTTTTCCAAGTGATAAAATTATTTATAGCGTTCTTAAATGACTGTATATAACAGAAGCATTTTGTAGCGTGGGTTTTTTTTTTCCTCTCGGTCATTCGTTTTTAATGGCATATAATCGAGTTCGTGAAAATCGTGAGACATAAGTATCGGAACATTTATACAACTTGAAAGTGCATAGTTTCAAATAAACATTGAGAGACTTTCTTTATCATTTATACTCGGTTTTTCTTAATAATTCCTTAACACATATATCAATTCTGAACAAAATAATAATCCAATTAATTGCAAAAAGAAAAAGAGAGAGAGAAAGAAAGAGAGAGAGAGAGGAAAAGAAAAAATAGTTTGCGTGCTGTAAAAAATAGTAAGATGAAACCTTACCTTGCTGGCGTGCGGTTGGACTGACTGTTCGTGAGAGAGACTGCTGCAAATCGGCCGAGAAGGCAGCCTGCCGTGTTTTGCTCAGATATAACTGCAAAAGGAAACGAATTATGCGAAATTATTCCTCCGACATCAATTCTAATTTATAAACGAAGTATTTCTTTAATTACTTCCACTACAGTAAAAAATAATCTCTGTAATGTGGAGAGACAGGTGTGTCGTGACTGAATCAAGCCGTGTTACGTGTTACCGTGCGCTATATTTTAAATTATATAAAATGTAGAGACACGTGGAAGAAGAAGAAAACGAATATTTCACTCTTAAAGCAGCAAACGTTCAAATCAATTATTTTAGTTACTGTCAACAAGAGAGATCTTGCAGTTGTATCTTATATCGTAAAAAAATATCACGATTGAGACAATTGTTTAATTTAAAAAGTATATATATTGTTTCAATTCACGTTTCACACAAATATATACAAATTAATAACAAGCATTTGCAGTTTAGTTTTATCAAGTAAACTCACATACGTAAGACGAGTAAGTTCCAAATACGCTGTTAAGACGCGACACGTTTTCACAGTTAACCGAAATTCGCTTCGTTTCATCCACAAAGAACTCGGAATCGTGACTGGATCGAAGAGATTTGACATCCTGATCACGCGCTAAGGGTAAGCTATCCCCTTTAATATTAGGACCAAATCGGACCGACTTGCGCGCGCTTCGGTATAAAATAAAGGGCTGACATGCGAGCACGGTGCCGAAGAGCCGAGCCAAGCCGAGGGAGAGAAGCCAAAGCGAGAGGGAGCTTACGCGAAAGAGAAAGACAGAGAGAGAGAGAGAGTGAGAGAGAGAGAGAGTGACGGAGAGAGGCGTAGAAGACAGGCAGAGAAGGGTGGCTTCACCACCGCGGTGAGGGATGACTGAGCGAGTCGGTTAAACGGGCGTCTTCTTTCATAAATTTGGAGGGCGCCCCCGGATAAAGGTTTAGAATAAATCGTTCGGCCTGTTATCCACTCCGACGTCGGCGGATAACGCCAGACGAGAGCGACCCCGGATGGCTCAACAATTCCTCCTTCGCCTTCCCGCATGATCACACGTTGTACCGCGCTTTGAGCTGCGTATTTGCGCGTTTTCCATTCCGCCGCAAAATTTCAATTTTATCATAAATGCGTCATTTATTTATGGTTCAAAGTCAACGGACAAAATATTTTATTACAACGTGCAAATGTATCGATCCAAAAATTCACAAGACGCGAGGAATCTCTAGATGTTACATGTATTTGTGCATAAAACATACAAGTGTATATATATATATATTCTCCTCTTTCTTTACCATTTCTTCTCTCGAAAAAGTTTTACGGAAAAATTTCTCAAAAAACTTGTTGCGAAAAGAAACTTCTTCTTTCCTTTACAAAAGCATTAAAGAAACGTTTAATAACTAAAAAGAAAACTTTGTGCGAGTTGTGCGCACACACGGGTTCTGTTCTCGTAGCGCTGAGCTGACTGTCTAAAATGGCGAGCGCAATATGAAAGTTCAAGCGGAGCGGGGTGACTAGGATGCTCATAAATACATCCTCGAAGATCGCACAAATCGCTCGTTCGAGGCCAATCCCCTTCGACGTTCCCTACGAGAGATACACGAGAGAGGGAACCCTTCTTCGGCTCGCGTAGAAATATCGCGCAAGCAGTACAGCGAATACCTATGTGCGAGTTACATGCACGCACGTATGTGCGTATATAACGCGTAAATGTACACACGAGCGCACGAGGTCCGAATGTATCACATGAAAGAAAGAGGAAAAATCGAAGGAAGAAGTAGAAAGAGAAAAGGCGAGAGGGCATCGAAAAGACGAAGAAAGTCGAACCAGGCAGAGAGCCAGTCCAATTTCTCAAACCTGTCCAATCTGTGTCGTATGCAAAATCAATCACGTTCCACCCTGCCACCCTCTCTTCAGGAGTCGTGGGCACCCCGCAATTTTCAAATCCATTCGTAGCCACGCGGTAATCCAGTTCTCGAGGCAAAACTTCTCGCCGATCCAAGACAGAATCCCGCTATCGAGGCATCTTTTTCAATTTATCTCTTTCTGACAGTTCGATATATACGTGTAAGTATTTCACAAATGTGCACGTTTATTTAAACGGCAGAACCGCCACGATTTTGCACTTTAAGATACTGGCTTCGGTGTTTACGTCTACTTCTTCACTTCTTTCTCTCTCTCTTTTCGTGTTTTCTTTTCATTTATTTATCAATCCCGATCTCGAACTAATACCGTTCCTGGATAAAGAAATTAGAAAAGAAGAGAATACGGTGGATATCAAACAAATCTATTATTCTTCAAAGAAACAAATTGCTCCATTTCCGACTTAATGCATCACAATAGCAAATAATCGTAATACGTAATAAAAATGCATAAATAATGCATAATGTATAAATAATAAATGTATATGTCAATGAGATAAGAGACTGTCTTTGAAGCTGCGATCGAGATGCACTTAGTAATTCCGTTGAGCGCGTTATACAGTTTATATCGAACCTTTGATCACGGTAATAATGTATATCGTTAGACGATGCTCAAAAGGCTACGCCGCGATGGCGAAGGATGACATTTTAAAAAGTAAAATTCAGAAAGTCATTAGGAACTATCGGCGTATCAAGCGTTTGTTTTGCCGGTCCCGTCCATTGATATGTATTACCTTCGATCGACAGCCGTGATCATTAAAAGGGACCTAAAGGCGGTCTATAAGGGTTTCAAGGCCGGGCGACCGCCTCGAAAAAGTAATTTGTCCTTTGGGGCACTAACTTCAAAGTGCACGCGGGACGAATGTCCCGCGTGCGGGCTTGCTACAAGCGGCGATCTACTTGCGCCCCTTTCTACTTGGCGCCATTGATCAGACTTGCTGATTTTTGCCGTCGCAACGTCAGCGTGGACCTTGTCCACCGGCACCCGTCAAGGGCCGTGGCTGGTTGAAGCTCTGAACCCCGAGAAGACGGAGAGAAGCGGGAGCGTGCGCCACGAGGGGTGCGAAGAGTTTAGCATACGCATTTTGTACATTGAAATCCCGACACGTTCGTCTAACTTTAAATTGAAACCCGCTCGACGCGCGTCTCCGCCATCGATAGTCGTCGTCGTCGTCGTCGTCGTCGTCGTCGTCGTCGTCGTCGTCGTCGTCGTCGTCGTCGTCGCCGTCGTCGTCGTCGTCGTCATCGTCGTCGTTGTCGTCGTCGTCGTTGTCGTCGTCGTCGTCGCCTCCATCGTTGTCGTTGTTGTCTCGTAAAATCTTGTCGAGCCAAAATGTCAAAAAAAATTCTAACTTACTATTCAAAACATTTAATTTAAAAAAGAATAGATCTTTTTTTTGTAAAAACAAATTAAACATCTAAAGAGAGATCTAAGACAACATTGTTATGTTGTAAATCGCTTCCGAGATGACATTTTGACGTAAAAAATCGAGCTCGCTCGACAAATTTTCAAATCTCACTGTGTGACGTTACACAAAAAAAAATAACAATAAAATCAGGCATTTTTAATTAAATAATACTAATCACAGAAGGCAACCCTCGCTTGTGTAAATCTCATCTCGCTCTCTCCCTGCGTAGGCTTTTTCCGTCTTTCTTTTACTTCGTCGTTGCCGAACTCCTCTCTCTTCTTCAGTCTCGCGAATCGTCTCTCTTTTAGACTTCGAATTGTAATTAACATTTGGTTCTCCCATTAGTGTAATTAAAGTGCCATTCCATAATCTAGGAAGCCAAGAGAAGAGAAGAGGGGTACCTTATCTTTCAGACTTCAGCTCCGACTATGGGGACCGTTTTAACCCCCGCTAGACGCTTCCAGCCCCTTTCCAGATCTACACCAACCGTCGGTTGCTCGTAGCTTCCTTCGGTGATAACTCCTTTTCCGTGAGAGGACTCGCTCGCCGTCGCAGAGAAACGGGGGGGAGAGAATCGTAGCGGGGAAAAGAAAACCGGCGATTAAAACGCTCGGGGATCTGACGTTCTGTATCTTTGATATATCTATCCTCTCAATCGGATGTGTGCGAACTGATTCTGTTTCTGTAATTTCCGTTTCCTTAAAAACTTACTAACACTCCTTACAGTGAATAGTTACACACGTACATACACAGAAGAGTTGTACGAATGTCTGATATTTTTCGTATCATACAGTCAGTGAGATATGTCGAGAAAAGAGAACGATGGACTTTCACGGAACACGTTGTAAAAAGATAATCGGCGGGAGGTATCATTCTCATAGATTGGATTTGGACGAGGAGGCGCGCGCGAGGTCGGACAAAACGATAAAGATAAAAGGGCGAGAGATAGGGAGGGTGCCGGCAATGGTAAAATAAAGAAAAGCAAGGAGATAAGAAAAGGGCTGCCTGCGTTGACATTTTCCGGTGGTTGAGTTAATAATGCGCGCGGTACACAGCCGCGTCGAGCGGGGATAGATCCACAAAGTGCCATCATAAAGAGGCGCGGATGTGTTTATACGGGAATTTGCCTTTTTCCCACCGCCCGCTCCCGACCCGGATACCACGAGATTTTTATCTTATTTTTCGACGACAATCCTACCCGGGGATTTATACACTTTCAACGTTCGAATCAAGAAAAGAAGGGGAACAGGAGAAAAAAAAACAGGAAGTGAAGAAGAAAGAGATGAAGAGATAAAGAACGAAAACTACGAGGAAGTAGAAAAAAAATCACGATGCAATTATTTCTGCCCGTTCCAGCTCGTGAACGGATTTTAAGATCCGATCGCTGAACCGTGAGGACAAACAGAAGAAACGCGGGAAGGCCGAAGGAAGCTAGAAAGAAGGATTAACCTCGTCAAGTGGGAGAGTTCGTGACAAAGACGTTAAAGTGGTCGAAGGGGATGAGATATATTGCCTCGAAATCTGGGGTGGAACGCTCACATCGTTGAGCATCATGGGACAGCGAGACACTAATGGCATTTTTATTATTTCTCTCTGAAGCCCGGGAGTAATGGGGCGCCTATATGGTCCATTGGACGCGTGACATAGGTGACAGCTTCTCACCTTTTTCACGTCTTCCATGACACACACCGATTTCTTGAAATGCGTGAGAACAATTGCA